TCAAAAAATGTTTGGGAATTACTTATAATATTCACGCTTTTAAAAAATTGTTTAGAGTTTCCAAAATGTTCCCATTAACAAGTTTTGTTCACTAAATTCCAAAAAATGTCCGCATTTTTCTGAAAATATTTAGGATTTTTAAAAATGGTTCCTGTCAAAAAAGGGAAGGTTCTCAATTTTTTGAATTTTTAGAGGTTGGTAGAGTTGTGTTGGATTTTCAAGCATTACTCGCTTTTTAAAAATTATTCTCAATTTCCAAGAAAAGATAAAAAATCAAAAACTGTTGGGATTCTGCATTCTAGTTAGTTCTTAAAGTGGCACGCTCATTAATAGCCACTATGTCTCTCAGGTAGACTGGTAAGGGCATCTCTAATGGTTGTAAGATAGCTGTTGGTAGACTTTGCCACATAGGATTTTTGATGATGTGTCATACAATAAATGAAGAAAGAGAGGAAGGTTGTATGTACATGAACCAACACCCCTTGCACAAGCTCCAATGTAGAATGAGAGAGTACCTTATTTATTATCTCACATCCTATTGGGCAAACTAGATACAACCCATTGGAGTTGTTGTATGTTAAGGTGTTGGTTGATGACATGGCATATTTTACCAACAAGCTAACATACAAACTGTTAAAGATGCCCTAAGTAGATTCTCTTTCTAAGATAGAGGTGCAGAGTTCAAATCCATGGGAGCTCGCTCATAATTCTTTTTACCAGATTGGGTTTACGTGAAGTTGTAGGTGTCAATATTTTCCTTGATAAACTTGATCAAACTAGACGAACACATCTCCCCCCTTAAAAAGAAAGAAGCCATCTCATACCATCAAGAAAAACAATGTTTCTTAGAGCATCTACAGCCGAACAGGAGAGAAGAAAAAAACTGACCCAACCAAATCCCTCATATCGTCTGTCATGTACGACACGACCTCATCCCAAACTACCTTTCTTTCTTTCTTTATCCATTCTTCTTCTTCTCTCTCTCTCTCTCTCTCTCTCTCTCTCTCTCTCTTCGTCTCCACCAATCATGCGCAAGTGACATATGAGAAAGAAAAAGAGGAGTGTGGTTGCGCGGACTGACAAATAGGGGCTTAAAACGGAAACGCCCGGTCAGTCCGCAGACGTTTAGGGGTCATATTTGCTATGTCCGGCTGTAGATGCTCTTACTATCCCACTTCATAACGTAAACAATTTTTTGTTTGTTTTCCTCTCTTCCAAAGCGTAGCACGCTTTGATGGACGCTCTGAGCTCATATACTCGAGCAGAGAACAGTAAAATTTGAAGTATTATTAAAAAAAATCTGAATTAATTTGCCAATAAACATTGCTTGTTGTTCCTATTTTTTAGGTGCTTAGTGTTCTAACTGCGTGCAAAGAGTTGATAAGAAATGACATCCGTGGTGGCCTCGATGAAATAAACAACAACAATGCTCCAAAAATACTTTCAAAAACACTCTTTGGAGCATCAATTTTTGTCACAACGTTAGAAAAAAAATGCCTCACAAAACTTTGCACGTGGATGAAACATTCAACAATTTTTGTTGCCGAAATCTGTTTTTTTTTTATTTTACTGTTCATCCGACTGTATCGGCATCTGAACCTGAGAGTAGAAAATCCATGTCTACAACAAACATCGCTGCATACATACTACAGTCCCACAAAATAATACTACAGTCCCACAAGTGTATAAAGTTTCCAGATTTTCCAATGTCCACATAAGAAAGTTCTGTAACCACTTCAATTGGGAAGTACAACCAGTAGAACAATATACTCCAATTTGCATTACTCTTTTTGGGTATATATGTAATATGCTTTTGAAGTCTTGTTGTAATTTATTTGTATATTTGAATTAAGATATTTTGACTTATGTCATTGTATTCAATGTTAAATAAATATTTAGCTCAAAATATTTGTATGGTAAGGTATTTTGACTTATGTCATTGTATTCAATGTTAAATATATATTTAGCTCGAAATATTTGTATGGTAAGATATTTTGACTTATGTCATTGTATTGAATGTTAAATAAACTTATTATTTGTATGTTTGAATTAAGATATTTTGACTTATGTCACTATATTCTGACAAAGATTTACTTTGTGAACTTTATTCCTTTTATTAGTTTCTTAATTTCTATCTGATCCAAATGTCCAAAAAAAGTACTCTCTCCGATCCATATTAGTTGTCATTGAAATGGATGTATCTAGACGTATTTTAGTGCTAGATACATCCGTTTAAGAAACAAGTAATATGGATTGGAGGGAGTAGTAAACATCGTGTTAAGTATTCTAACATTTTGTTATACATATTTTATTTTATTTTTTACTTTTTCTAGATCTTCACTCAACTATTAATTTTCTTTTACAAAAAAGTGAATTCCCATGGTTCTTTAGTATGCATGTATGCAAAGATGCAAAATCATCTATGTTAATTTACTCCCGATTCTCGTAGTTTGGTGATTCTTCCACTACACTTTGTACTAAGTATTTAATTGTCCGATTGTGGAGTTGCTTTCGGTTCTTTCCAAGAATTTCACCGGTTCCTAAACATATAATCATTCTCAATGAAGGTTTTGCTTTGTATGGAAAAGTGGCTCTTCTAGTGGCTTAAGAAATCTCATGAATTGGGATACATAGAACACAATAAGAACTTTGGATAATCTTTCCGTAGTTCTAGTTCATATGTGCATGTCAGTTCCTTTCGTCTTGAATACAGAGAAGTCCAATACATATGGGATTCGAATTTCTGTTGATCCCAAATCTTTGGATTTCTTTTGTCAGACCCACTCAAAGATATGCCAAATCTCCTATTTGGAGTTCTTAATTCCTTCAATCTTGGTCACAAGACTCTCATGCTTACTTTGAGCTATCTTGAGAAGGTCATAGATCATGTTGGTAACTTGCTTTCTTATAGTGATGAATTTAGGTCACGAGTCTTTATGTTGTATAGTTTCTTACCACTATAAGGGTCACATACAATTTCGTGCATACAAGGTTTCAAACGAAGTTTTTGAATGTTGCTTCTATAGTTGTCCGTATCAGTGAATAGTGTTGCCTACCATCCATGTGGCAAGTGTTCGTCCCATGATCATTTCAAATATAGGGCACAAGCGCTAAGCATATATTTTAGTATGGAGGTTTTTCCTCTCCACTGCTATCTCATGTGGACAGTTAGCAACACAGAAAATCAAATTTGTGATCCTCACGTGGTCTACGGTAAGTAAAAATGGAACCTTAGTTTATAACAATCCTTGTTGGTACTTCGTCTTGCCGATGACTCGTTGAGATACATATTGGCTAATTTCACACGCATTCATCTCATTAATGGGTAGAAAAAAAGTGTTTTTCGCCGGTAGGTCGATGATCACCTGTGTAACATCACTGTGACTCTTGTTTTTGGCAATACGGTCATGAAGCCCGTTCTGAACTGTTCCCGCTTTCATTACACTACTGGCAAAGGTTGCAATAATCTCCCCTCACATGTAATGCATGATATAGCCTTTTTTGTAGTAGTGGGATGGTAATTATAAGACATCTTTTTTTACCAGATAACACTTTTGTGCTGTAAGCCCAAAGTTCATGAGCTTGTAGCACTGGGCACCTCATTTAAGCAAATTGTCACCAATGTACCCAAAATGCTTGAATGGCACAAAATACCATGTTCTTACCCATTATATGAAACTAGATGATGCCCCACACGTTGTTGCGGGAATGTTTGCAATATTTCAATGAGATTTTGATTATATGGAACATGAATTCTTGAAACAATAGTTTTTGAAAGTATATAAGAATTAAATGTAAATAGCATAATAAAATGAAATTTTACATGCATGCATGTTGTAGTGGATTTTCAATATTAATAGTTGCATATTAAGGTGGGCCTTTACTTATGCATGTTGAATGATGAGGTGGCATGCTTACATGTTGAGAGAAATATGTTAATGGGGGCTAGCTATTTAGATATAGAAGATATGATAGGACGTACCTGCGATGAGGTTGGTGTGTACATATTTTGTTCGTTTGTTTGCGTGTTTTAGCTCGCAAAACACCGCCACGGAATTGCTAGTGCAACCTAACAAAATGTTGCTGGCTCGGTACTACGAGACGGATCTGTTTTGGAGCGATAGATCAAGCTGGCACACAATTCCGTAATATTGACGGCATGAGCTATGTCAAGGTTAGTGCCAACATGATCACTCATTGACATTGTGCAAGGTGTCAAGTGCGTCAAAGATTGACGTTGCGTGGGGCGGTGTTTGAGGCAGTGGTTTATGTTGGCCGTTCGATCACCCATGTCCACCTACACCGAAGCGCCCGTGTAGGTCCGCCTTAGCTTCTGCCTCTATATTCCATGTGGCATGTGTCATCGACTTGACGGGTGAGCCCTTTTAGAGGCGATTTGATATGAGTACATGGTATAATGAAACATTCCAAATATACCACACAATGTTTACAAGTTTTCTAAAATTGCCACACTCTGGTAATTTTCTGAATTGTGTTAGTCATTTTCGCGACAGGTAATTTGAGATGGAGGGAGTATACGTTTCCTACAAATCAAATGCATATATAGGAAACTTTCAATCGGGTCATATTCATTAGGTTTTTCTCAGGAAAATCCTCCAAACCAAGGCCTTAGAGAAATGCAATTAAAAGGTCATATTGTCCCCTAAAAAAGGTCATATTGTATTTGCGGGGAAAATGTGTGTACAGCCATCATGCCGGACAAGTGTGAGCGTATGGCACAGCGACGCAACCGTGCACCCTGCGGAAGGCACGCGAGGCTAGAACCGTCATTCCAAGCACAAGTCTTATCTGCTTCCGGTCCATGTCTCGCTGCGGCGTGGACCCACCCACTAGGCTATGCTCCTATAAAATCCAACCTGGACGAACCAACCCACACAAACTCCAAAACCATTGCCCTCCTCACAACCCCGCACTCTTCCCTCCGCCAAAGACCGGTGGTTGAGGCGTCACGGTAAGCTCGAGGCACAGACGAGAGCGCCATGGCCGGGAGCGCGAGGTCGGCGGCCGCGAAGCACGCGTACCGGATGTTCACGCCGTCCCGGAGCGCGGCGGCGCGGGGCAGCCCCGGCAGCGCGGCGGACGAGTTCGACGAGTCGGACGTCTGGGGCTCGTTCGGCGGGGCGGACTCCGGCCCCGCGGAGCTCGCGCGCGCCCGCACGATCCCGTCGTCCGCCCGCGCCAGCGGCCGGAAGAAGCCGCTGGACCATGCCCATGCCGGCCCCGGCGCCGTGCCCGGGTCGCTGCCGATGAGCATCCCAGACTGGCAGAAGATCCTGGGGGTCGAGTACAGGGGCCACCACGCCGGCGAGTGGGAGCTCTACGGCGACGACGACGACGACTACGGCAAGCTGGGCGCCGGCTGCCGGAGCGGCGCGGTGGTGCCGCCGCACGAGCTGGCGTGGCGCAGCCGCGCCGCGTCCCTGTCGGTGCACGAGGGGGTCGGCAGGACGCTCAAGGGGCGCGACCTCAGCCGCGTCCGCGACGCCGTCTGGAAGAGGACCGGCTTCGAGGACTGACTGACCGGAGACGGAGCATGCATGGCATCGGCATGGCTCGATCGCCGGCGGCTGGTCCAGTATGCGCCGCAGTATAGCCTCGAAGCGAGATCATTACTACTAATTGTTTCGCTCGTTTCGGGCCCTCCTTTTTGGCATGCGTAGCAAAAACAAACCGTAGTAGCGAAGACATGCGATCCTGACGGAAGGGGAGCGGGTGGGTGTTCGTTCGTTCGTTCATGGCGTGACAAATTTCAGGGGCACCTGGAGGAAAAGGCTAGCTAGGTTGGTTGGTCAGGCGTCGGCGTGCGTATTTTATTTCTTTCTTTCGTGTAGTCTTAAGCTTTTTGCAGTGGGTTGTACTGCTGTTTTTGGGCGAAGTTGCTGAACAGAGAAGAAATGCCTGTCTTTGCCAACCCGATCTCATGATACAGGAGCATATAAATGGTAAAAGAAATTGCTTTCGGTTGAGTGTTACACCTTTCTGAAGTGACAAGATTACTCACATTTTTCTTCCAATATAACGACACTGTGGCCCTACTGAACAGTGAGCACGCACTGACATAATTGACCATTAATAATATCTATCGGATGTGTCTAGCTCTCATCTATACTAGATAAAGTCTACTCTAACTCCTACACCGCCGAATTCTACGCGGAGATTCATAGGTTTTTCCCCATTGATTTTGCTTGGTTAATCAGCAGTGTAGGAGTTAGATGAGACATTGTAGATGAGAATTAGCAAATTCGCTATCTGAAAAATACACATATTGAATTATGGGAAGTTTCCCCGCAAAAAAAAAAAGAATTATGGGAAGTTTAGCTTCTGTAGTCTACATCTGGTAACACTAGCTAGTAGGGTCCCAGTTCCAAAAGAAAAGCTGATGGAAAGCGGCAGCTGGATTTTAAATTTCCAATCGGGGCAGGAGGTTGGGAGTCTCCGCGCAAGAGTAGGATCGATAGATCGATCAATAATTGATCATCCATCCGTTACTATACTATCACAGGCATCTAGCTAGGGGCGGGTCAGCTAAACTGATCACCGATAATATGGCATGGCGCCGCGTCGTTTTCCCGGCGACGTCGTAAACGGATAAGGTCCCGATCGACGGCGACCCCGCCCGGCCCCATGCCGCACACCGGAAATGTCGAACGGAACAATCATCAGACGACCCAACCCAACCCCATCCAGCGCGACCCGCGGCCACGAGTCGTAACGCTCACGCGCCGAGCGCTACGTACGCGATATTAAAATTTAAAACCCGCACGAAACGGCAGCTCGCCAGCCAAATGCTCCGACGTCGACGCGGATGGGGCGTCCTCGGGGAGAGGCCCCGCTGCCCGGGCAGCGCTGCCGGCATGCACTTCGGACGGAGCGAGCAAGGCTGGCATGTGGAGCCCTCTCCCTCCGTGGTGGAACCGATGCCGCGCTCCGTGGTGGCACGTACGTAAACGGCCGCCATGCATGTCGGCCGGCCGCCTTGCACCAGCCAGCTGTGTGCCGTCCTGTCCACCCAAACCAACAGTCATGGCACGTCCATTACATTGGCACGTCGACGGACTGCGGCGCCGGTGAGGTGCGCGACGGTTCGGCCCTGGCACCTGGCGCCGAGCGCGCTCGCCACGCGCAGCAGTGCTGATGTTACCCCGATCCGGCAATGCTGACGTCTCTCCTCGTCCGGCGATCACTCTGCGAAAAGGCCGGGAGCAGTGCTAGCGGCCAGCGCTCGCTAGAAACCTCTGCACACTGCTCCTCTGCTGCGGCGGAGACACGCACGCATGGCATGGAGGAACGTCGCCGCATTTGCAGCCAGGGAGTACTCCTAAGGAGTAGTAGAATATACCAGGCATCTAGCGATGAGCGGTCGTGCGGCGCACTGGCAGTACGCTGCGCACGCTAGAGACCACGGAGGGCGTCAGCGCCACTGCGTGCGTGCTCAGCGCATCCAGGTGGTTTTGTCGCGCGAGCAGAGCGTAGAGCGCAGCAGCCGGACGTGGCGGGCGCGAGCGGCGCCAGGGGCGCTGCCTGCGTGCCGGCGGTTCGGTTGCATGCAGGAGCGGAACGCGACGCCAAGCGCGCGGGCCGGCGGGATCGATCGGTCGATCGTGTTGCATGCTTGGCTTCTCGCACCCTGTGGGCTGTCTATCCGCCCCCCGGCGCCGCCGCCGGTTTCCACAGGTCAGTGGGCGGGGAGTCAGGCTGTGACTGTCCCGGCCGGTCCCACAAGGCCGGGCTGAGATATCTTCTGGGGGGCGTCGTGACTACACCAGGCCGGCATTTCGGCCGTCCGGTGCCCGAAACGGCAACGATTTCCCTGACGTCGACGCGGTATGGAAACGGATATTTCCATGCAGTGGCTGTGACAGTTTTGTTCTAGTTCGCAGTGTTGGTTTTGATCTGACGGCTTAAACAGGCCAGTTAGATCTATTAGTCTAACAGAAGAAGAAAAAAAAAGATAAAGAAATAACGATAAGTGAAGGGGTCCACGTACCAACGTACGTGAGCCTCGATCAGAACTAACGCGCCCTGATCGGGGGCGCCCAAAAACCAACTCAGGTTTTGGGTCCCCTGTCGCCAGCGCCATATTAAAAGGGATACGGGAGAGAGCTGGGCACATGCGAGATCACAATTCACGTAAGGTTTACTCTCCTCCCGATATTCTCTCACCCCATCCGATCAGGGGGAGTGCTGCAGCGACGGGAAGACCTAAGCCAGCCGCCGCCGCCGTCCCTGGGCAGTGGCGGTGGCGTCCTGAAGGAATCAGGACGTCGAGGAGAACATCTACTTCGACTACATCACCCCTGCATCACGCCTGCACCGAGCAGGCGATCATGTCCACTCCCGTGACATGTAAAGAAACCCTAAACCCTTCTCTGTTCATGTTGTGAGGTGATCTAGGTGCAATTAGATTCTGCTAATGGCATCTCATAGATGCATAATTATCCCAACAATGGTATCAGTCGCCAATCTTGATTGCAATAGATCCCTTTATTGTTGATCAGTAGATCACTATCATTTTTAGATCATATCAGGTTTAGGGTTCATGATCAAGATTGAAAGTTATAGCCCCATGATCTTGCTACTGTTTTTGATGATTGATGTCAATTGCCCACTGTTGATGATGTTTTAATTCCAATTTGCTACGGATCAGTACTGCCACCATGGTTTCATCAATTTTAATTAATCCAAGTTAAGATCTAATGCTCACTTTTATGCTAAGTTGATTAAAATTGACCATGTGACATTCCTGTTTCCGTATGCATCATATAATTAGTAGACAGGGGGTTAAGAGAACACAAACAGTGACAAACCCCATGTTTGAAGAACCCTAGATTTTTTTCCCCAATTCGGTAGAACCCTAGTTTTTATCCCCAATTCGCAAGAACACTCATTTTGCAATTAGGGCTATTTTTTAATCCAAAATAAGCACTGATGAACACGAATTGGAGAAGAATGAGGCATAGGCTCACCTAATGCGCCGCGTAGCCGCCTTTCCCTTCGGGGCCCGCACTGCGTCCACCGTAGTGCGGGGGCGGAGACGCCGCGACGCTGTCGCCTTCCACCGGAGCGACGCGCGGAACGTCTACTCGCCGCCACCGCCGCTACTCGAATGGACGAGCTCGTCGCCGTCGCCCCTCATGTCGCGGTGGCCGGCGTCCCTCCTCCCTTGATGCGCCATGAAGCACGGACGCCGGGGCCACGTTCGACGGGGGAGCGCGCGGGATTCATCCTGCTGCACGCTCCTCCGGCGAGCGCAGCCGCCGCGCAGCCATGGCCGGCGCGCCTCGAGCCGCCGTAGTGCCGCCGCTCTCTTCGCGAGCTTGAGATGCGGGGGGGTCGGGGGAACTGAGCTAGGGTTCTGGATCGGGCGGCTGTTTTGTTCCGATCGGGAGCGATACGGACCGTCCGATTCAATCGAATGGCTGTAAGCGACGCGCGGCTCCCAGCCGGGCCGTCGGGGGGCTTAACGGGCCATATTCGGCCGCGGGCTTCAGCCCAGGTTGTTTCAGTCCAGCAAAAAAAAACGCTACTGGACTGAGCTGCATTTCAGACAGACGTGGGGTTCTTGGGCCAAAATCAGTGTCGCCATTTTCTGTTTTTCCGGTGCGTTAAAGTCAATAGTTATTATGTTTTTTTTCACCGTTTAAAACAGAAAATGCATAAAAATATAATGAACACATTATTATTCTGGGTAAAATTGAACCAACGAGATATTTTATTCAGGATTTATTATGTGTTTTTGGATGATGAACTCTTTTTTAGACATCAAATAATGATAATATTTTTTTTATGTTGATGTTTAAATTGAGAATGAAATGACTCTAATTTTAATTCGGACCAACGTTGTTTTATTATTATGAGTCATCCCCTATGATATTTTAATTCCATGTTTTTTTCTGCCCAACGGTGTTTTGACATGGAGTTGAAATTAAATACTTGGCATGTTTGTTTATTTACCAACGTAAATTTATAATCATGCAAGTTTACTTATGAACTTTTATGATGATTTCAGCTTCCGCTCCATTCCGGTCCGACACGATCGAACCACTTACGGGGAGTAACTTCCCTCGTTGGAAGTCCCAAGTCGAATTATATTTGGGCTGTAATGAATTTGACTATGCCTTGAGGGAAGAAAAATCTGTGGCACCTGTGGCAGGTGTCACAGGGTATGCAGAACTCAAGAAGGAGTATGATGTTAAGATGGAAAGTGGAATAAGTCCAACCATATTGCGCTTCTCATCATGAAAGCGACAATATCGCCGGACATTTCTGAAGCACTCCCTAAGAAAGATACTGCTAAAGATTTCCTCACTGAAATGGAGGAGCAATTTAAAGGCTCCGACAAAGTGTATGCTCATGAGCTTTTTGCTAAACTTCTTCAGAAGTACACTATTGACGGAAATGTTAGGCAGCACATATTGAGGATGGTAAATGCTTTCACCAAGCTTAAGGCTTTGGAGTGTTCTTTAAGTGAAGCCCTTCTTGTCATAATTATTCTTGAGTCTCTTCCTGAAGAGTT